TAATAATAATAATAATAATAATAATAATAATAATAATAATAATAATAATAATTATGTATTATTTCCAATTTACCAAGACCTAAGACTAAGTTATACTTACTTTTATATATTACACAGAATTATATATACACAGAAAAAGAGCTATATGCCCTTGACCTTGTAGCAGCAGCCCTAGTTAAGAGCATATTCTGCAGAGCTGCTCTAAGCTGTCCCAAATATAAATATTTCAAGCTCTTAGTCTGCATCAACTAAAGCGCTTTGGATATAATCTCACTTATTTAGCTGAAAATGTAAAAGTTCCCGTGAATAGGCTTACCACTTGAAAACGTAAACATATTAAGAAACATTAACTAAGGAAAACCAAATGGATTACTTATATAAAAATTACCAATTTTTAATGCAATTCGAAATCTACATCAATCAGAGATCTCTGCTCTGCCTTGCAAATGGAGGCTCATCAATAAGAAATATGTAGTTAAATTGATTGATCAAATGGGCATGCCCATTTGCAGGGCATAGGCAGGTATATATATATACATATCTAGGTATTGGAAATGGCATCGTGCAAATGGCGCTCGGCTTTTGACACCTACGCGGGCGATGTTGTCAATGTCACTTGTCATGGCCAAATTGGCGCATCTCATGAGCGATGATTGCCTGGCGGATATTATGGATTACCAGTGTGGGCGATGCACCGAGCACCTAGAGGCAACCAGGGACAACCAGCGCCAACCAGAGGCAACGGCATCTGGGCAACTCTGACTCGAGCGGCATGTTAAGTGGCAGAAGTCAAACGTGACAAGATTTAATTTTGACTTTGATGAATGTACATTGATTTTCCCTCATATTTGTGATGTCCATTACTTTTTTATTTTTCCTTTTATTGTTGTTGTTGTTGCTCTCAGTGTGCAGCGGCGCAGCGCTAAAAACTTTTACATGCTTAAATTATTATTAAATTGATGGATCTCGTAGACTAAATTAGCTCAGCATTTCTATCATTTCTGTGCTCGGCATTCATTTAATTTCTTCGAGTTCATTCAGCTGTATATATTTATAATATTTATATATAAATTATCTATGTATATAAATATATGTGTGCACAACTTTCGGCTAGCTGTGCTCGTTTCACGCGTGGAAATATTTAAGTTTATTTTTGGTACATAATTTCCTTTGGCATTTCCAATATAGCTCCAACACACACACACACACTACACACATTTGCATAGCTACAATATTATGTTTTATGAGTTTTTAAGATGCTAAAAAAAAAACAAAAAAACAAATAAAGATGAAAAATAAGTATAAAAGTTCTTCCACTTGGCACTTGGGCTCAGGAGGTTGGGCAAAGTTTTTGTTGGGACAGGTTGCAGCTGTATGGGGAAACGAATTTAATTTTTAACGTGAAACACGAACTTTGACCCAGCAGCCAACGGTTTCGGTTTGAAAGTATTTAAGTATTTGATTCCATGTCACATTTTGGCTGCTTCATTCGGTCGAAACTTTTCGCTTATTGGCGACGCAATAAGATGATAAATTACTCGCTCAGTCGCAAGTAATGCTGCCCGGGTGCGGAAGGCGGGCATCGTTGCCATGACGCCGGTTAAATTATATGCCAAATAAAAATCACTCATACGCCGTGTGCGCCAGTGCGAGGGAACGAATCTCGTCGCTTGTCAACCGCGTCGAGATCTCAGCTGCCATTTGGATGTTTACAACTGTCGCCGCTCGTAATCAGCTTTATTTCTCTGCCTGATAATATGCCGTTAATGTACTTGAAGTGCGGCGTCTGGCCAGCGTCTTGGCCTTGTTTACTTTCCAGCTTCGTCGTGGCGCGAACTTTGACAAGTGTCAACCGCCCCCGCCCTACGCCCGCCCCTTCGTTCAATTCAATCAACGAACAGCGTTCATTATGTTTATGTATTTTCAAATATTTATTCTCATATATTTGCCTTTTGTTGTTGTGTTTTGTTAAATTACTTAATTTGTCCAATTGAATTTCAATAATTTCGCTATAGCTTTTACAATAGTTCACATCATATCTTATGATTCTGTGGTTTCTTTTTGGTTTTAGTTGCTGTCTGAACGCCTCGAGGCTGTTTGTTTCTCTGTTAGTTTCAGTTTCTGTTTCAGTTTCAGTTTCTGTTGGTTTAGCTCTAGATCTCGGCATAGCAATGCTGTAGTTAAGCACAAAAATAAATAACACTCACGTTTTACATGTTAATATCCATATACAAGTACAAGTACAAATACAAATACAAATATAAATACAAATACAAATACAAATACAGTTACATATACATATACTAGGTATATAAACATCGTTAGACATATAAATTAGTTTAGCTATTGATTTTTGTTTATAAAAATATAACAAGTTCTTTGGAGTTTGCTTCCATCATTCGTTCATTGATAAGGAAAATCAGATTTGAATGACATTTTATACAATATTAACATAAAGAGCTCGCACTCCTCATAATTGATTTGCCTTGCATTTCTGTGGTTTATTAATTTATTTTATTTTTTATATTTTTGCTTTGCTTTCTATCGGCTGACTAGAATCGTGGCTTTTAGCATTTGTTTTCTTTTTGCATTCATTATATTTAAGTTATTTTTACTTATTTCCATATTATTATTATTATTATGTTTTCTAAAAATAAAAAGCTTCTTGGTTTGCATTTGGATGCACACAGTTCAAGGGAAGAAAACTAAACACAATGGCAAACTGTTATTTTATTTTGAATAATAACAGAGGACCTTCGTTTGCTCTGCGAGCGATACGAACTGCTCTTTTCATAGTCAAGACATCGAACAAAATTCATATTCATAGTTTATTTTTTTTAATTTTATTTTTGTTGCTTTTATGGAAGTTCTGATTCGGTTTCGGTTTCACTTTCGGTTGAGTTAGTCCCACGTTGAACTTGGGCCGCAATTGCTGGAATCAAGTTGCTGACTTTGTAAGCAATGCAAAAGCCTTCCCCTTACAGGCGACACAGTCAACTTTATTCCAGGAACTGCAACGCAATTAATACACACACACACACACACACACACACACACACGCGCACTCTTTGAACACTTTGCACGTCGAGTTGAATTTAACTAGCGATATCGTTGTATATACTTGATCTATTTATAGTAGGGCTTTATTTAGGTTGCACTAGATTACTTTTGATTTTGACTGCCACACTCGTTAATTTCCATTTAATTTATGCATTCGTTAAACTATGAAATTTCTCTATTTACTTGTATTATTATATAATATATATATTTTTTTCTTCTTCTTCATATTTTTTTGAGCATTCTTATTGCATGCGATTGTCGTTCAATAATATATATAACATAACATTTTAATTCTATGCATATTTTTAGTATGTGTACTTACATATATGTATGTATGTATGTATGTATATTTGGGTATAATTTCTCGGTTCAATTGAATTGTGCCATAATTTGTTCAACTTGATTTAAATACAATGTTTAATTTTAGTAGTTCATAACTTGTCATTTGGTTAATTGGCACAGTTTAAATTTTAGTTAAACTCTCTATATATAGATATATATATATATATATATATATATATATATATATATATATATATATATATATAATTTGTTGTTCTCTATTGCCTCATCTTCTGCTCGCTTATATGACGATACATTTATACATATATATTGCTGCTTAGCTTTGGGTTTCTGATTGCCGGTTTCGTATTTAGTTTAGTTTTACTTCTGCTTTGTTTTCGCCGGGCTTACAACCTGCGCTTAATTTTGCTCAGGCGGAACAAATAACTATTTACATACACAAAGAAAATTAAAAAAAAAAAAAAAAAATCATATATAAATCACTCTTGCTCTTCTTTACTCATTCTCGGCCATATTGAAGCTCCATCAGTGCAGCGAATTTTTAAAGCAGATAAAAACGAAATGAAAACGAACAGACAACGCGCCTATGGAGTGCACCTCGTACACGGATGAATCCGTAAATGTTGACTTAAATATTTACAGTGCGAATGCAAGCAGCATATTAATTTTAAAAATTAATGGAAAATTGTAATTGCATTTGTTCGAATGACGCAACTGGGCCATTGTTTGGCTACGGTTGCTGCTGTTGCTGTTGTTGTTGTTGTCGTTGTTGTTGCTGATGGTAATGCTGCTGCTGCTGCTGCTGGTGTTGTCCGTCAGTCTCTTACACATGACTGGAGGCCGTGGCGGCTGCTGCATTGTTGTTCTTGTTCCATTTGTTGATATACTCCATGGGTATCTCGATCTGTATCTCCTGCACATCCTCGGCCGACAGGTTGCCCAGGCTGGGCTTGGGCCTGGGGTTGTCCAGCCGGGAGCCAGGCGCGGCGCCGGCCGCCAGCCGCTGCTGCTGCTGGGCAATGGGCGTCAGCAGCGCCTCGTCCCTGTATTATAAGTTGTCCACCATCTGGGACTGACGGCGATGCGAGGGCGTGTTCGAGTTGAGATAGCTCTCCGAGTAGACGCTCTTCGCGCGCTGATCGTAGCGCAGGCTCGAGCGCCGTATGTCAATGTCCAGCGGCATGTGCCGGTCCTTCCACCAGTTGCAGAACAGGCAGAGCAGCGTGTTGCGGAAAGCCTCCCGGAAGTCGCGATTGAAGTACGCGTAGATCAGCGGATTGAGCGTGGAGTTGAAGTAGCCAATCCAGAAGAGTATCGAGACCACAATGTCTGGCACCTGGCACGCGTCGCAGGTCATGGAGAGCGTGTACCTGCGAATGCACGAACAATTCAAGCCACATTCATAACAAAAGAAATGCGAAATGTTTGCTGCGACAAAAGCCCAAAGAGCCACCGTGGCGTATGAGTAATATTTAATTATGCATGCGCGACATTAAATAAATTATACTTGAGCCGGCTGCCAGCGGGTCGCATCGCTCACTTACCACACGAAAAATGGCAGCCAGCAGAGGATGAAGGTGCCCATGATGATGCCCAGAGTGCGTGCGGCCTTGTGCTCCCGCTTCATTTTGATTAAATGTTTGTCCTTAGTCGGGGTGTGCTCCTGCTCGACCTCATGCAGTGTCAACGTTTTCGATGAGCCCGAGCCGCTCAGCGCCTCGCCTGCCAAAGGGGGACATGATAAATGCGCAAGGATTAGCATCAGCTCTAGTCCGACTAAGTGTGTGTGTGTGTGTGTGTTGGACAGTTCATCCAGCCGTTTGGTAATTCAAGCCTTTGGCTCTCAGCTCTCACCTGATGGCTGCATCGATGGGCGATGCATGAGCATCGCATTGCCGTGGCGCATCATCAGCTGCTTCTCCTGCCGGTTGGCCTCACGGAAAATGGCCAGATAAGTGAAAATCATGATGGTGCAGGGTATCCAGAATGAAATCGAGCTCGATATGATGGCATAGTAAGTGTTCACCACAAACGAGCACTGCTCGGGATGCTCCTTCACGAATACCTTGTGCTTGTCTGTCGTATACCAGCCGATGAAAATGGGCAGGAACGAGAGCAGCGCCGGCGATATCCATGTGTTCAACAGCATAATGCCAACCACGCGTTTTGTCATGCTAATCGGATACTTGAGCGGCTTCACAATGGCATAGTATCTGCAAAAATAAAAAAGCAGAAGCAGAGGCAGCAGAAGCAGAGTGCCATGGTTATTAGTATTTCAAGTGAGCCCGCACACACATACATACATATACATATATCATGTGAAGTACGTACCTATCCACTGATATGCAGCATAAATGCAAAATGCTTGCAGTTGAGAAGTAGACGTCCAAGCTGTTCCACAGGTCGCACAGGAAGGGGCTGAAGTTCCAGCTGAATATGTGAGAGAGCAAAAATGAGGGCGGGTCAGTAATTGAGCTATTAACTGAATATTATGTAACAACGGCTCGATGTGCAAATATTTGCCCCACAAAGTATGCTATGAAAAGCTTAAAGTTCCCCGTCCGAACTGCAAAGGCTGTGCCTGTCTCCTCTTATCAGCGTGTCTGATTTATGTGTTTATCGATTTCATCTCCCGTTAGTTTTGGCCGGCTGGCAGGTGACATTGCCCATGAACTGGCACACTTTGCCAGCCACTTTGCTTTAATGCACTGCTCGGCCAGTTACAATAGCTGTGATGTTGCCGTAGGCACACACACACACACACACAGAGAGAAAGAGGAACTTCTACACGCGAATGAGCTGGTTGCATGAAAAACTCATTAAAAGTCGCGCTGTTGTCCCTGCTGAGTAGCGCCTACTCCGCCCTAATCGTCCCCCAATCGACCCGACCCATTTGTTCGCTCTCTCTCTTTCTCTCTCTCTCTCGCTCTCTCTGCTTGGTTTCGCCAACGGGCAGGAAAATTTATTATCAGACGACCGGCTTGGCATCAGTTTCAAAAACTTTTCGACTATTCAGAAACTGTGTGTGCGCACGCCTGCAGTAATGCCAGGATCGGGGAATGAAGGCATAGGCACAGGCGTAGATGTGGCCATGGGCATGGGCTTGGGCGTAGGCGTGGCCCTGCTCGTGTTTGCCTTTTCAGCGTTTTGCAAGTTTCTTTTTTTTTGTTTTTTCCTCCCACATTTTTGTTTTCGCCTTGTTCCGTTATGCGCTGCCATGAATTGGCGCTTAAGCCGGCCCACACAGAAGGTGGCTCGGTGGCTCGGTGGCTCGATTGCGATGTCGACGCCGCGGGCCAGTGTCAATTATGCAGCCAGCGACAGTGAAGGTAAAATTGCTAATGAATGCCAAGTGGGCTCTGGCTGGTAACGAGCTCAGCTGCCAATTTATATGCAACTTTCGTGGACAAGTGGCTGGTCGAAAGTTTTCCGAAAGGCCTGGCCCAATTCCAATTCCGTTTCCAACTCCGATCCCCAGCAGCAGCCCACACAGAGTGCAAGCTGCGACATTATGCGCCGCACTCTCGTGGGAGCAATGAAGCGATGTGGCTGGCGATGACATTGCAAACATTTTCGCTGATCCTTGGCCCCGAGTCGAGCTTAAAGCCGGCGAGCCTCAAGTCTACAGCGGCAGCTCCAGCTGCAGCCTGTGCATAATTAACTGGGCTATGTCTCTGCGCTTGGCATCACATGCACACATCGCATTACAATTGCACAAACACGCACACACACACACACGCATGCACACATGGACAGCTGTGTGAAGGATGTGACCATGTCACACTCTGACGGGTTTTTGTGCCCAAGAATAGCAGTTGAAAGAGCGTGTTTGTGTGTGCCGTCATTCTCTGTTATGCCTGCACACCCTCACCCACTGGAAGACACACAACTAAGGGATGCCGTTTGCTACTTTTATATATGTGAAAAAGCTTATAGAGAGAATGAGAGAGTGGGAGTTATATTTTTATATATTTTATTTATGTTAAATTTTTTTTCTATTACTATTGTTGTTTTAAGTAAACTATCAATTTACTTATTTTATTTTTAGACTTTTTACTATATAAGTTAGATGTGCACTGTCTTGAAGCTCCAATAAAACAATTTTTTCGTTTCGTTTTCAATTAAACATTTTTTGGTAAAATATAAAATGGAATGAATTATTTTTTTAATTATTTTCCAAATGATAGACTAACCAAATTATGACCTAAACTCTAGCAGTTGTTTGTAGTTCTAATAAAGTAATAATTATTTTCTCTTTTTTTTTTTTAATTCTGCATTACAAGGTTTTTTTTTAATATTAAAAAAAAAAAAAATGCTATTCAAATATTTTACAAGCGAAATTTTGATCTACTCTCTAGCAATTTTTTTATTTACTTGAACTTCAAATAAAGCTTGTTTTTTCATATTTTAACTACAAGTTTTTAATTAAATGTATTTCATTAAAAACAGGATTTGCTTCAATGAACTTTTATATTTTTGTATGATTTTTTTTTTTTTTTTTTTTTTACTTAAAAAAAAACTAAACACATATATATATATTTATTTTCATTGCTGTGGAGCTAAATGCATGTATATTCATTTTTATTTCATTTGTTGGGGAATTCGCTGGCAGCGTGTATTTAATTCACATAAAATAAAATATGTGTATATGCAGGGGAATTTTTTAGTTTTTTTATTCGCACATTTTAATACTCAAACAGAGGCGCACGCACATGAGCTGAAACACAAAGCGAGATGACTTTGTGCATTTGCATTCGCACATACAATCACATATGCAAAGCCACCCACGCAGCGGGAGAGAGAGAGATAGAGAGAGAGAGAGAGAGATAGAGGTAGCTAGAATAAATGTTACCTTCACTTTTCAGGGACTTGTTTGGCTGTTTGCTCGGACACTTTCACTGCCCCAACAGAGCTGCAGCCGCCCCTTTACGGTAGACTGACATTTTAGTTGCTACAGCGCTCAGTTGCAGTTGTAATGTATCTATGTGTGTGTGTGTGTGAGAGTGTGTTTGTATGGTTTTTGTTTTTGTTGTTGTTGTACTTACCGCCCAGTTACTTGCACACTAAAGTTAAATGTCATGGCCATAATAGCGACCATTATATCAGCCATGGCTAAGGAAACTACAAAGTAATTCGTTATAACTCTGCAAAGAGAAAGAGAGAGAGAGTGAGTGAGTGAGTGAGAGCACAATCAGTAAACGAAAATATTACAAATCATGACAGCAGCCCAGCAACAATAACAACAATATGAACAATGGCTGTAACGGGCTGTGCGATATGGCATATCCTTAGATGACTAATCAGTATTTGCTGCACCTCTCCATCTTGCACATGCTTGTGGTGTGTGTGTGTGTGTGTGTGTGCCATTGCCCCCGAGGGGCGAACTGTTACTACTGTACTGATGGGTCTCAGTGAGGGACGGCAAATGACTTCTGCCTGCATTCTGCTGTCAGCATGGGACGTAATTGAAAGCCAAGCCCGGCATCGTGATGGAAAATGTGGTCTTTTGGCTTAACCAGGCTTACCCGGCCGCCTGGCTCTCGCATATGGCATTTAATCTCTACTGCATAATGAGTGACTGGCAATGCGGCGTGTGGCATGCGGCATGCGGCATGCGGCATGCGGCATGCCGCATGTGGAACTGTTGAGTAATCGAAGCTATTCAATTCTTGTTAAACAGTTTACGTGACGTATACGTAATTTATGCAGCCTAAAGCAGTTTCTGATTATGATTGAGCTTTTATGCAAATCCAATGTTTATGCCTCAGCTGTCAGCAGCAGAGACTTTTGTCTATTCTCTAGCGCTGCTCTTGAATAACTGTCCGTAGCTGAAGCCGTTAATTGCAACAAATAGCCGCCATTTTGTAAATGCGTTGCCATTATTCAGTCAGCGCTCTCCCTCTCCCTCTCCCTCTCTCTAGCTGCTTCCTGCCTCGCTCGCACACTTTAATCTGCTGCTGGCAGCGTTAAATTTTCCAACAGCTAGCAAAATAAAGAAAATCTCATTTCAACACTTTGGCGGCCGGCGCTGCTAAAAGCCGGAAGCAGTTGCCAAGCATCCTTCAGCTGAAGGCGGCGCCGCGACGTTAATTAGTAGCCTCCATGTAATGCCAAATGGATGCGACATATTGGATGCCACTCACACTCACACACACACACGCACACGCATACGCACAAAGAGCACTCGTAGACTAGAGCCGCGGCTCGTGGCTCATCTTTAAGAGAGCAAAAAATGTGAAAATAAATTCAGACAGCGCGGCAAACGTTTTTATTGTGCGTCGCATAGAAAATTTAAAATTTATGCAGCCATAAAAACCATAAGCCGCCTTAATTGCCAAAGTTTTGGTCGAGGGGCTTCTGTGTCTGTGGTGTCACCTAGGTTGCTCAGATACCCTGCAAAATGACTGGCATTGAGCATGACACTCTTGCTGTTGTTACTATGAAAATTTTGGTCTTTTGTTTGCCCGCGAATTTAATTGAAATAAATATATATTCAACTCTTAATTATGCCTATGGATTTATTTAAATATTTGTAGCATTTATATAAATATTCATATGCTGGGTATCTACTAGTCGCGTATACCCATTGAATACAAATTATTTGCTCGCAATTTTGTGGACTGCATGGTGTTTTTTGTTGAATTTTTGAAAAGTTTAACTGTCACGCTTTATTATTATTTTTTCTCTCTTTTCATTCTTGCCGCTATATCCAATATTCTCGTTTTTTTTTTTTTTTGTCAGTTTCACATTCCATTCTTTGTGGCATTGTTTCAAGGAGCGCCGCATCCATGCGTTCCATTTGGAAAAAATAGAACAATAGATGGATTTGCAGCTGGTGGGCAGCAGCAGCTGCCGATTTATCAGGCACACGTTTGGATTCTTTTTTCTAATCTTTTGCGCCTGACTGGCAATTATTTTGGATAGAGATATAAGAATTATATGCGAGAGAGGCACATGCTCCTGGCTAAACCACGACTAAATTCACACACAAGAGCCCAAGCAACCTCAGCATCATCATCAGCAGCAGCAACATCATCATCATCGGCACATTATTAGTTGGGCCTTGGGACTGCGACTGAGACTCGGGCAGCTAGTCACTTAAAAAATAAAATGCTGCTCATTAGGCAAGTCAGAGAGAGAAAGAGAGAGAGAGAGACATAGAGAGAGAGTGGTAGAGAGAGGGAGAAATTAAGCGACGTTCAACCTTAATTACGCCAACCTCTTGCCAAGGCCAGCTCGATTTGGACCTCTTGTTATTCTTTCTCTTTGCCAAAGTTTGTTTGCCTCATTTTCAGTGTCCTTTCTCGAGCTCCACTTAAAGTTTTCATTACACCGAAGAAATTTGCATTAAGAAAAGCGTGCGCGGAAACAAAAATAAAAGAAAAGAAAACTAGAGAGGGAGAGCGAGCGAAAAATAGAGTACCCAAAGGGGGTGTGGCAAAATCTTGGTGGTTAGAGTACAACTTTTGATTACACGCCCGTAGGACGAGGCGACGACGTTAACTTTGATTATGTGAACCCGTCGGACCGGGCCTGGGAGAGCCCGTGGATTTTATGATGCGCTAAATTGATTTGCCTGCCTGTTATTAAGGCATAACTAAAAATATTAACGAACCGAGCCAAGCTGACGACCCATCATTTATCACTAGAAAACTTTTTTATGGTAATGTCGCGCACTCTGTCTCTCTTACTGTCACCGCCCCTGTCTCTGTCTCTCTCTATATAAATGTTGAGCGAAGGACGGCGACACCGCCATTCTCCGTGCCATGAGTTGACAGCGCATCTAACGAGGTCGTCTCGCTGAGATGTTGACAAGTATCAATTCTCACACATGTGTGTATGTGTGCGCCTTAGTGTCTGTGTGTGTGTGCGTGTGTGTGTGTCGCCATATTTCTATTTCCGTTGCAAATTGATAATGCGAAGGTTTATTGGCTTGCCATTGGGGACAAATGATGCGCTCGCCGTCAATTTGTATGCACGACTATGAATAGCCAAAACAAATGAGAACTATAAACAACATTTGAATGCATTCATTGTTTATGCAGTTCACTGCGAGCTGGAGAAATATCCATTAGGTCTATTGTGCTTGTCAGATCATACTGTTTGTTTAATCTAGAGATCAATAATTATATAGATTATAATGATCAATAATTATTGCATAGATGTGCATGATGCCAGAAATATTTATGAGTGGGCGAAAATTAAGATAATTTAGTAAATACTTCATGAAAAATCATTTCTGTAGTTCATTAAAGCTAATATAACAGGTAAAGAGCTGGAGGAGTTGGCCTTTATGAGGACTGTATACAGGGTTGTCGTTACTCGACAACGGCCCATCTGGCAGCCCCAATACGCCGTACAGGTTTAAGGCTCCTGTTTGAGAGATATAATATTCAAAAAGTGATGTAAAAATATCTACTTGAATTTTCAACATAAAAACTTCTGTATATCTTTGATTAAATAAAAATAATAATAATAATATGGGCCTGTCGAATATGGGCAACCTTGTAGTGTTGCCAGACGTAGACATAGAATATGAACTGTCCTGTATAAACAATGAAAATTTTCCCTCTTATATGCCATATACATCATATATTCTAATACAAAAGCGCGAATCTCCTAATTCATAATGAAGAAATGTTTCTGAGTAGGCGAAAAGCGAGTAAACTAATTAAATAATGCAATAAGCAAACATTTATGCAGTTAAAGACATCTAACTTGGCATTTAATATGAGAGATGAGTTTGCTGTCTTGAATGCCAGATATGCTCTAATCAAAGAACGTGAATCTGCTAATTAATATTTGTGCTGATACAGTAACTATGTGCCGGTCCACTGGTCTCAGCACAGCTATTCCAATCTAATTCGGGGCAGTGGGGGAAGAGAAATGCAAATGGATGCTAGTCGGGACTTGCTTAATTATTAGCTAAATAAATAAGGACAGCAAATGGCTACATAAAGCACAAGCGGACAATTCCTGAAATGTCGGGCAGAAAAAATGGGAGTAGCAAAGTGTGGGGGTGGCGGAGGCGGAGGCGGACGTGGGGAACGAGTTTTGGACGTGCATGAATTTTATGCGAAGCTGACAAAAATTGAGCAGAGAGAACGGAATAATTAGAAAGTGTTAAGGCAGCGTGTGCAGGTGCGGGCGAGTGGGCGAGGCAGAGTCAGAGGCTGGGCGCAAATTGGCAATCAAGGCAGCTCCAGGGGGGAGGGCGGAGGGCGGCGCAGCTTTGTGTAAATTTTACGCAATTACAAAATAAGTAAAAGAAAAACGCAGAGAGAAGAAGAGAGAATGAGAGAGAGAAAGGGAATGTAACGCTAATTGCTTTTCACAGATAATTAGAATGGAATGAGCGCGGAGCTGGGCTCGGCACGAGCTGAGCACATTGCGTATACGCACCTTAATTTTCTAACACGCATCACAGAAATAATAACAAGCAGATTGCCGCAGATGGCCGCAATGATGATTAACAGCATGACGGATGCCTTCAGCAGCCAGAACAGATCGTCGAACCAGTCCTCGGCCCCCTCGGCTGCGGCAAGGCCCGCATCCAGCGTGGCTCTGCTGTCGTTGTAGAGCGCGCCGGACGTGCTGCTCAGCAGCGTGGCGTTCAGGTCGTGTGTGGCGGGCAGGGGCGTGGCAGTGCCTTGCAGCGGCAGTGCGACGGCATCGAGGGCGCCAACCGTGGCGGTCAGCGCGTTCGTTGTGTGCAGCACGGCGGCGCCGATCAGCCCCAGACTGAGGCCGGCGCTGCTCCTTGGGCTCGTTGTGGTGCGTCGTATTGTGGTTGCAGCTGTTGTTGCTGTTGCTGTTGCTGTTGCCGTTGCCAGTGGCAGCTCGAGCTGTGCCGCCGGCTCTGGTTTCAGCTCTGGCCGCTGGCCACTGCAGCGGCAAAGTCTTTTGCGTATCCTTGTGGCGCTGCTTCTATGCCGCATCGTCGTTGTTGTTGTTGTCGCCGCTGCGCTGGATGGCGCGGGCAGGTGGCCCAGCTCCAGGCACGGACTAGCTGGCATTTCACTTGAGTTTAGCATAGACACAGACACAGTCACAGTCACAGACACAGACACGGATACGGCACGGTCAGGAATACGGAACCGTGCGGCTGCTTGTGCTTTTTTCACTCGCTTTCTCAAATATTCCTTTTGTCACTTTTTGTTTGGTTTCACTTGCAGCTGTTGCGGCTGCTCGGACTCGAACTGGGACTCGGACTTGGTCTTGTTCTTGGTCTCAATCTCTTGCACTTGCGTTAATTCGCTGGGCGAGCAGCTGCGCCATTAGGGATTCGCGACACGCGTGGCGCTAGCGACGTTGAAATCAAAACTGAAACGGCCACCGCAACGGAAATTGATTCGCGGACCGTGCGATGGCAGAGGCGACGCACACGGCAGCGGGGACAGAGAGACGCAGATGGCGAGGGAGAGGGAGAGGGAGACGTCAACGTCAACGCCAACGTTCAGCGTTCAGCGTTCGTGTCGCTCTTGGTGGCTGTCCTTGCCAACGCCAGCCGACGCCCACTCAGCTCGACTGTTGTTGTTGTTGCTGTTGTTGTTGTTAAAGATAATATTATTATGGAGACGTCGCTGTTGCTGCTGGACTCGCTCGCGTTTTGGCTATGCGGCTTCTGTTTTCACTTTACTTGATTCTATTTGTTGTTGTAGCAGCCTCTGCTCGCTGATTGGTTTTTGCTTGCTTCAAGCGACTGCGTTTTAATTTTGTTCATTTTTTTGTTCGTTCTTTCTTTTTCTAAAATTTATTTTTCTTTTTTATATATATGTAGGAATATATATTATTATATATGTTTTTTTTTTTTCGTTTTGATTGCTGCGGCGAGCGTGTCGCTTAGCTGCTGCTGCCGCTGGTAGTGCGGCTACTGCCACTAGATTTAATATTTGTTGTATTTATTTTTAACATTTCTTGTCTTCCATCTATTTTCAGCACTGTTCGTGCAAGTGGTTTTCACATTTACATACATATAGTGCACCAACTCGCAAAGTTTCCACGCTTTCGCCGTTCTGCCATAAAACAAAAAGAAAGAAAATATTGTTGGAAATACATAAAAATCTCATGCGTTTGCTATTCATAATTGTTGTTGTTGTTGTTGTTGTTGTTGTACTTATGCTTTTCGTGTATTGGAATTAAGTTGTATAATTTGCTATCGCATTTGTATTGATTTTAGTCAATATTTGTTTATTCGCTGACGTAGAAATATGATTTGAAATGGATTTGGTTTTTTGCTTGAGTGGCGTGGGGCATACAGGGTGCCTGTTAAACAGCTAACACGACATGCCAGATATTATTTATATTATTTTTCTTTTCATTGCCTGCAGCTCTTAAATAATTGCTGTTCTATTTCTATGCCAAATATCAAACTTTGAGTTTTTGGCAAATACAGGGTGCCCCACCCAAGGCAAGCTGAATGGAAATATTGAAGCAGCACAAATTGCGCATCGCAATATATCTAATAACTTGTCTAACATAACTGCTATATAACTAACTATAACTAACCATCATAGTTAACTCATCCCTTCGAACACCCTGTATGCTGCAAATGATTTATGTGACGACAGCTGCGCCTAGGAATGTCACTCTCTTGACGCTTTTTGCTGCTCGCTCCAAAGATATTTTCGTTAGCCCACTTCTATGCTCCCTTTGCAGCGTTCTAGCAACTTTGTTGCAAAAAAAAAAAAAAAAGTTAAAAGAAAATAAACAACATAAAATGAAATCCTAATGCTATTATTATTGTGCTCTTCGAGTTCTGTTGCTTTTAGTCACTTTATCTATATTTATGTAGATGTACGTGTATATATACTAAGTATAGTCTAGGCTATAACTGTATGCGACTCTTGTATGTTCTGTGTATTTCTATTTAAAATATTCTCTCATTTTTTTTTTTTCTGAATTAATTTCCTGATGATGTTTTATTTTCATGTTCGCACACGCTTTTAGCTCTGGCAACGTGGCCGCCTTTTTGATGTTATTGTATGTGTATGTTGTTGTTGTTGTTGTTGTTGTTGTTGCTGTTGTAGCCCACAACAAATTGGCCACTCGCATTTTGGCGGCCACGAGCTTTAAATTAGACGCCCAGTTGCGTAGGTTTATTTCGTTTTGGATTTACTCGTTTGCATGACACATTTTTGAGCACTTTGCGTTTCGTATATTATTTTCTACTGGTTGGCTTTTAGCGCAGAGCAGCGAGAATACTGTTAATTAAGGCAACTGTCAGCAAAGGAAGTTGCTCGCATTGAGCCGCAGCATATGGCCAAAAAGATTCTTCTGTTGCCGTTGCCGTTGCCGTTGGCGATGTCGCCACGCCCTGGCGCAAGTCCAAATCAAGCAACTGCAATGAAATGGAAATAGAAATTCAGCCAAAGTTATATAAATAAATTTATATTAAATTCTATAAAATATAAATTAAGTGCGCATAAATATTCGAAAACCAACCCGACACAAACACACACACACACACACACACACACTCGAATGAAAGGGGTATAATAATTTTCAAAATATATATATACATGCGCTTCTTATAGATGTTTGTCAGCGGCGATCAAAGCGCTCTGCCTCAGCGGCATTTTGAAATTTATATTTTTATTAATTTTCAAATTTATAATTTTGCACCCAACGGGCGACGCCTTTCGCCATGCGGCTCGAGTCGTGGGTGTTTGATTAATTTTTGTGGCCAAGCTAATTTCCATTAATCTGAACTCAAATTGTAAAAGCGAACAACAGAAGACAAGAGAAGCTGCCACGCCTCACATTTCGATTGCTGATTGCTGATTGCTTTGGCTCTTAGCGGAAATCCATGAGCGAAGCCCCCTTGACTGACAATTGTCGACAGGCCAGAAAGCGGAAGACTCAAACATGGATCCACCAAAAGCAGACCTCCAAAATCTACAAAACAGTCAGCTGCCAATTGCTTTGGCATGTGTGTGTGTGTGTGTGTGTGTGTGTGTGTGTGTGGTTATGCACTTGTGTTTGCTTGCTTCCATCGTTCAGTCAACGCCTTTGAATACGCAGATTCCAATGTTAATGTCATGAAAATTATTATATATCTGCATACATACACGCACATATATATATATATATATATATATATATATTTATTTATATATACATATTTATATATATAAGTTTTGTTGTTGCTGTTTCAAATTCAATTTCACCGTGCACATTTGTAGTGCTTTGTTGTTGTTGTTGCTGTTGCCCTCGTTTTGGCTGTTGACGTGGACGACGTTTTTGCTCTTGGCATTGTGCGTCCTCGTTGGCGGTTTTTGTATTTAGTTTGTTGCCTCTGTCTCGTCTTGTTGCCAAATTATGGCGCACATGCCAAAACAGAAACGAGAAAACAAAAAGGCGATAGTAAGAGCTGAAGCAGCAGCAGCAGCAGCAGCAGCAGCAGCGGCAGAGGCAGAGCAACTTATGGCCCGGATAGGCAAGATGGCAAGACTGGGCGTATTCAGGCCCTCAGCGGCGAGTCTGAGTGGAACAGCTGCACTTGGCTGAGATATGCTATGCGGCGGCTGGAGACGCTGCTAATTAAGCTTAACATACTTTCCAGGGCACCCAAGGGGCGTATGTATACTGCTGCCACGCCCACATCTGCATGCAAGCATTGTGCATGCTTTATCTTGCTTCAGTTTTAAATTAATTAACTAGCATTTATTTTTATTTAATAAACAAAACTTTTAATTCAACAGAGAAACATTGCCGCAGCCCGCATGCTGCTCCCCGATCCCCTCTGCACTTGTATGGATGCCTGCTGAAGTTCGTTTCGGTAACGGTGTTTGTGTTCACTCCAGCACCGCACCGCCCCGCCCCGCCCCGACCGTATGCCAGGCATTACACCTGAGCTCTCAGCTCAACTAAATTGGTTTTGTGTTTCTTTGCAAACTGCTGTGAAAGCTTCATTCATTAAATTTCACTCTCTGCAATTTGAATTCACAAATTCTCAGCCTATCTCTGTGAATTTCCACCCCCAAGCAGTTGCTACCAAATATTATTTCTGACGATAAAATTTCTGTTATTTCAACAACAAAAAATTCTCTATTCTTTGCCTTCGATTCTTCAAGCACATTCATGAAATTTTTGAAAACATCTTAAAGCGGAATTTGAGTAAATTTATAGCAATTTATTAGATTTTCTATAGTTGGAATTTCTTGAATTGTTTATTGAATTAATATTTTATTTTTTATTTATAGATTAAATTAATATTTCATATTTTTGAGAATATCTTTAATAAAAATCTGTTCACTTTAAGCCCGTTTAGAATTTCTACATGAGAGAGCACTTCTGCATATATCAAACGAATTCATATAATTTTCTCTCACCCCTCCTACTGCTGGGCATTAAGAGCTTAGTAAATATAAAAAATAAAATAAAAGAATACCGAACAAACATTGATGTGTCACAGTAAATTTGCCGGCGGCAGAATTTTTGTTGGATTTTCTCTTTTTAAACACACAAATTGCGGCGCGAATAATATCAATTTATTTTTATTGTTATTTCATACATGTCAATTGACGAGGGGAGGGAGCATCATCAACGGCAGCCGTCTGCTAGATGCAATGGCACACTTGAACTTTAAATCGATTCCCAGTTCAATTTACGCACGGAGTCTGCAAATAAATCACCCGACTAAAGGCGCTTACAGACAGACTGTGCCATATCTCCTTCCATGCTATATATACAACATATATATATATATATATGTACATCTCTTTCTATAAATATATATATATGTATGTATCTGTGTACATGTATATTTAGATATGATTGTATTTAATTTTCGCTTTCTCGACTGCAAGCCCAGCGCACAGACACACACAAAGGCCAGCCGGAGAGATCCAGAGAGCTTTTCAATTTCAACAGCATAGATAAAGATGCCGGGCTGCCAACTGTAAACGATTAGGGCAAGAGATTTGGGCGGCACGTAAGTGGTGCGAGCGAGGGGGGCGAGGGGAGAAGGGGTGGGGGGCGAATTGAAAGTGGAGCGTATGCCTAAGGCGTTCAGATTTTATTGGCCGTAAAG